AGTTTAAATATTTCTAAGGCGTCATCTTTACTTCTAAGTAAATAAACATAACAATATCTTGTGCAATCATCGATAAATGTTATGAAATACTTTTTGCCTCCTCTAGTTTGAATGAATGTAAGATCACATACGTCTGTATGAATTAATTCTAGAGGTTCGGTTTTCCTTTCAACCGATTTAAATGGAGCCTTAGTTAGTTTTGCTTCTACACAAATTTCACATCTATGATAATAATTAATTTCAAACTTTGGTATATAATATAAACCAATTAATCTACGCAAAACATCAAAATTCACATGTCCTAATCTACCATGCCATAAATTCAACTTAAGAATATAAGCAAAAGATGTGTTATTCTTTTTCATAGCAACTTTCGGTACAACTGTCATTACATTTAATTTGAAGAGACCATCACTCATGTATTTCTTACCAACATACATACCACTCTTTGATAATACAAATTTATCAGACTCAAATACAAGCCTAAAACCATTTTTACTTAACAAAGAGTTAGAAACCAAATTCTTCTGGATGTCAAGTACATGTAGTACGTTGTTGAGGGTCAGTTCTTTCCCTGATGTCATCTTCAAGATCACTTTTCCTTGTCCAGCCACAGTAGAAGTAAAAGAATTTCTCATGAAAAGTTGTTCACCATTTGTAGCCTCATTATAGGTAGTGAACATATTCTTGTTCGCACAAATATGACGAGTTGCCCCAGTGTCAATTCATCATTCCTTGGGATTTCCAACCAAATTAGCCTCAGATACCACAGCAAAAAAGTTGATGTCATTCACTCCGTCAGAGATGTAATCTAGTTCAGTTATATTGGCTTGATTGGTGGTCTTCTTACTTGTATTTCCATGATCCTTCTTAGGACGATGGCAGTCAGAAGCTCGATGTCCAGTCTTACCACAGTTATATCATTTTCCTTTGAACTTCTTGTTGCCATTGTTGTTGCCTTGTTTAGGACCATCTTCAGTAAACTTCCTATTTTTGTTATGTGGTTTATGAACTTGTTCAACCACATTAGTCTTGGATTGAATGGGATTTATCCCATTCCTCTTTTCAGCCTTTCACTTATCTTCCTCAATTCTCAATCTTACAATCAACTCATCGATAGTCATCTCTGTGCGTTTATATTTTAAATAATTTTTGAAATCTTTCTAAGTCGGTGGTAACTTTTCCACTAGAGCAGCGACTTGGAAAGATTTTCTTAAAGACATACCTTTTGAATGAATATCATGCAAAATTATTTGAAAATTTTGAACTTGAGAAATTACCGTTTGGGAGTCTACCATAACAAAGTCCAGAATTTACCGACAACAAATTTCTTCGTGCCGGCATCTTCTGTCTTGTATTTCTTCTCCAAAGAATCCCACAATTCTTTTGCTGACTTTAGAGGACTGTAAACATTATACAGCATGTTGTCAAGACCATTGAGGATGTAGTTTCTGCACAGGAAATCTGAATGTTTCCAAGCATCTACAACGGCAACAACTTGCCGATCACTTTCACCCTCTTTAAGTGCTGGAGCCTCTTCATAGAGAAACCGAGCCAAATTTAGAGTTGTAAGGTAGAATAGCATCTTTTGCTGCCATCTCTTAAACTCGGTACCAT